ACCATATGCAGTGCTCCCAGCAAAGCACACACAAATGGAAGTTGGCCTTCAGTGCTTATCTGGGTGCTGTGGAAAACAGTGCAGAAGATCCACGTAAAAGGTGGAACTTTTATGTGCTGCATGCTGCACCAGAGCAGCTGGCAGCTCCAAACGGTGTCCAGCTTTTCTGCAGAGGAGCAATGCAAGCTTTAAATGGTTGGGGTAGGACACATGAAGGAGGAGGTCAATCACAAGGTGGAAGAAAGGGCAAATGAAAAAAGCCCCATTCCATTTCTCTCGCCCATATAGGATGGATATGTGTTCTGACTTTTCGTTCTCTCTCCCCCAGGCAAAGCTAATACTGCTGGAGCTGAGCCATCCACTCTGGGTGCATCTCCAGATTAGGTTGTGTGTACATGGCCATTACTTAGGAGTAGAACAGGTTTTTTGAATTATGGATACAGTGGAAGAGAATTTGGTAAGTAAAAAGTTTAGATCAACTGGTAACAGTGGAAGTTGCACTGAGGTGCAAAATAGGCCTTTTAAGACGCAACAAGTAGCAGCCCTCTGACAGCTTAAAAAAGGGAGGCTAGGTTCAGGTTAAAGTAGCAAAGTACTTCCAGTACTTTCAGTACTTCAAGTAGTTTGCTTAAGTAGATGCTCATCTAGAAATATTTCTATCTCTGGCCAGTTATTGTTGAAGCATTAAGGAGAGACAGCAGGGAGGAACTGTTAAGATCGTAGGCTCTAACTACATACCAGACCAACAAATAACAGCCAAACCCTGATCAGATGTTTTTTAAGATGCATGCATACCGTTGACTGCAATACTTGAACACCAAAGTGAAACTGCAATTCTAGCATCTAATTCCTTTAAAATCTAGAAGACAGGCTCTCTTCTCCAGGCAGAGGACTGGAGTGAAAACAAGAATTGCAGTTGTTACTTCAGAAGGAACACCTCAACATCAATGCAAAAGAAGAGTAACTGTGGAGTCTTCGAAGCAGGACATACTGCAACTCATTCTTTCTTCTTTCATCTGAATGCACAGCTCAGAAGCAAGGCTGGACAGTCTTTGACTACACCAAGACTAGTTTTGTTAATTGTCAGTCCTTTGAGGTGTATATGCTGCACTGCAGAAACTCACAGGTTTGACTTACTTATAATAGCAATGAGAGGAGAAACCGCTCGTTTCACTGTAGTTCAGCCAGGCAGAGCAGCACACTACTGATCAATGATAACGTCATGTTTTGTGACTGCCCAGAGAAAAGATCCCTGAACTGAAAAGGGCAAAAGACCTGCTGATTACCTACTGCTAACAAAATCAATGGGCTAGAACAGGATTGTGGGGTGTCTGCAATCTACTGCTTATATTCACAATTCAGTACAAATATGACCCTGTGGGGGAATATTTGCTATCATGAAAAACAGAACTATAGGAAAGTGAGTTGAACGGAAGCCACATTTTTGTTGGGCTCAGATTTGTAAATTGATTGTCAGAAATTCCTCCATCCTAGTATAACATTTACCTGCATGCATGAGGTCAATCAGCTTCTAGCTGATGAGGCAGTCAAAGACTAACTCAGCCATGGGGTATAGGGTGGCAAGGATGAAAAAAGTTATTTGGAGATGAGTGTGCCTCCATATATGTGCATGCATGCACATACCTGTCCCTACTCCTGACATGACTTCCCCCCATTTTCCTAATCAGATTAAAAATTATGTTCTCCCACACCAACTTTAAAACAATTTGGAAGGATGTGCTACAAATTCCCAACCCTTGCTATTTCAAGTCAAAAGATCATTTTAAAAATCATTGCATGATACCACAAGGAACTTTGGATGTAGTCAGTCAATTCAGACAGATGTTGTGTTATTGATTGTGTTGAACTGCTTTCAAAATACTAAAGAGTTAACAATTTGTAAGCACACATTTACCCTGTTGGCAGGAGTTATATTCTGGCTGCATAAAGCGGTGATGAAAACAGGTGGTTTTTTTTTTTTTTTATTTTGGGGAGGGGATCTGCTGCAGTATTAGCACTTTTAAAAAAGAATGGTCCTTGAGGAGGTAAAACATACAATGAAAAAATGTTTTCATTTGTTACTGAGGAGTCTAATTCCTTTTGATTATTAAAGAGCAAGTAAATTGGAACAAAAATGTCTTGACTTAAAGCATGTCTTTTGAAAATGAGATGGTTAGTGTCTCCTGTTGCTTTCTTTGGACTGAAGATGATAGTTGTCAAATTTAATACAAACCAGTAAAACGTCGCAGTAAAAAGTGATGTTTCCACTGAAAACTCATCCGATCCTAACAAAGTCCAATCTGGAGTGGTATACTGAAAGTAAATTTTTAATTCATTTGCCAATTTACTTTCATAACAAAAAATTCTTTTCACTTTTAGAAAGCATCTGTAGTGAGCATTCAGCTATGTATTCCTGCATTTTGCACCATCCCCAAAATATCCATGATAAATAAATGAATCTCTCCAGTAACAATTCAATATTCCTTTTTCAAATGGTTATTAACTTTTCCTAGGCTTTACTGTTTGGGTTTTTTTTTCCCCTGGTTGTTTTTTTTTCCCTTTTTTTCTTTTTTCTTTTTTTCCCCCTTTTTTTCTTTCAGGTTAAGCACCAGCTTAATTAAAATTAAATTGAAATTATTTTTAATGGAGAACTGATTCTTTTGCAGAAGTGCAAACCCCACTATGGATCCTTCTTGATTTAAAGGAAGCTTCTGTTGTTATAGCTTGCACTTACAATTCATATAAAGACAAATCTATCATCAGCTTGATTTCTAGAAATACTCATTCCAATAGCTGAAATGGATCTGCTGTATTTTATTCATCAACCAGCTCTGGAGTTCTGGTAAGACTTTAATCTCTGTATTTACAGTGTATAAACTTCTTCCTTTTAAAGTGCATCAAAGCTTCAAAATAAATGGATGTTTTCAACCAAAGCCTTCCTCTTAAAGACGGAAGAATCTTATTTGACTTATACTCTGATTTCATTCATTCAGACTGCTACATTGGTTTCTAGCACAGTTTTAGCCCTGCGAAAGGATCTGCACAAACAGAATTCTGGATGCATTTTTGCTGGGCCCAACCTAGTTCGGTATCTCCTTAAGAACTGCATGGTTTTTTTATTCTTCTCTCCTCTCTCTTCACACAGCTCTTCTGTGTGACCCCATCTCCCCCCGACCTCTTGTCACTGCAACTCTAGGCAAAGAAATAGCCAGCTCCCTTACTGCTGGCTCTAGTTCAGGAGTGGAAGAGCGAGAACTGATGGTGATGACTAGGTGATGACTAGGTGATGACTGGCTGCAATAAAAAACCGCCATAAACCAGCATAAACCCCGCTGGCCATGACTTGGCCAAGCTGAGGGTCTGCCAACAAAAGATTAAAGGTAGATGGTTCCTGCTGGAAGCACGTAAAAGCACTTTATTTTCCCCCTTGAACCTTCTGTGACTCAGAGTGAAACGCTGCCATACATATACAACTCTTCCAACTGTGTGAACTGAAGGAATTTGGCATTTCACAAGAGTGCTCAGCATTTTAGGGAAATGGACTATAAATGAGTGCAGTGAATTGTTCTGCATACATTTTAAAGGTAATATAAACTGGTTTTGCCTCATTACCATGTTGTAATAATGGAGTCATGACTTTTCCAAGAAAAAAAGAAGATATGATTCAGCTGACCCTGGGAAATAAGCTTTTATAATACATCAGAAAAATAAAGCTGGATTTCACAATATTACGTTATATAATTATATCAGTTTAGTATAGCAAGTGTGATTTGCTTTTGTCTTTTGAAGGTAGCTATCTAGTAATTTAATACTCTATTTGTCAGCAATGTATTTCCAACACAGTCTAGATTAAATCTTAAAAAATGATAATGTGGAGTTTGACCTCCATAGTTACTGCCTGATAAAATATAAGTAAATGTGTTGTTTAAAGTATGCAGTAAACAAATATATAGGCAAAAGACTTCAGATATTATGGTGATACTGTTTGCGAAGAATATTAGTATTTACTGATCATTCCTATCATTGCTGCTGTTATTTTATATTCACAATTCTTTAATTATGTGAATGCCAGAAGGGTAAATTCACATAAAGGAAAATCACTTTACATATAACTTACTGAGATAACAATGTCTGGAACCTATTTTAAAGAAACCATGACAGCCATCTTTCATTCAGCAGTCTGCCACAACAGGAAATGACTTCCTCTAATACGCAGTGAAATAAATAAAGGTCAGATGGTTTGTTTGTCTGCATTTACTTTGCACACCAGTAAAACAGGATGTTTTCTATTAACATTGCTCCAGGTTTCCTGGTAACAATAGCACCAAAATAAGGACCAGATTTTGTCTAGGTGAAATTCACTCCTCCTGCATAAAGCCCTATGCCTAGAATATGAAAAGAAAAAAGCTGAAGTAAGATGCGGAAGCTGCTAAATTTATGTGTAAGCACCAGGCTGCGATCTGTACAAGCTTACAGGAGTTCGGTACTCAGCTTCCACTGAAACTCAAAGGAGGTAAGCTCCTTTGTTCTTACAGCTTTTTTGAAAATTCCAGCCCTGTAAGATGTAACAGCCTCCCATTATTTGCTCAGGGATAGTATGTATATATATATATATGAGAAGAGTGCCTTGGGTATTCAAAATCTATGCAAGTGAAAAGAAGAGCATAGAGCATGCAGCTTCTCAGCTGTGAAGAAGCAGCAGCCTTTGCTGAGCCATACTGCTTATGAGACAGACTACTGGATCTTCCTCATAGACCACACTTGGCTCATGCCCTTAAGTGATCTTCAGCTCAGCCAGAAGGACAAAAGGCTGTGAGTTAATTGTTGCCCAACTTTGAACCATGTGGGGTTCAAGTGGAAGGAAGGGCTTTAAGTCAGCCGCATGTGCACTGGATGTTCCACCTAACTGGAATGTGGTTTGTGTTGAGGTATGTTTTCTTTGGCTATTTTTTCCTGAAATGTGCAATTACAAAAAATAAAATATTTACATCATTACAAATGAAATGTCAATGTCAGCTTTTTCTGTCATAAAATGGAATATTCCTATGTGTAACAGGTGAATTATTTTCCTTGGGGATCAGATACAAAACTGTTTTCAATGCAGAGAACAATAAACTGATTACTACAGCTATATAATTTCTGATCAAGAAGTTTCCCCGTCTTCAGCGGTGATGCTTGTCCCATAGCTCCCATATCAGCTGTGTGCCAGGCTTCACAGTAGTTGCTAACCAGTCGGATCCCATTTGCAGTTGAACCATGCCATATTACTTTTTGCGGCCTGAAATGTAATGTTAAGAAGTTATTTCCTGAAAAAGTCTCTTTTTTGCTTTATTCAACAGCACACCTATATGTGTGGTGACCTGTATTTCTGCTTTCCTTCTGCTTGAAGTAAACAGGGGAGAGGGAAGCTGTGTGCCAGGCTTCACAGTAGTTGCTAACCAGTCGGATCCCATTTGCAGTTGAACCATGCCATATTACTTTTTGCGGCCTGAAATGTAATGTTAAGAAGTTATTTCCTGAAAAAGTCTCTTTTTTGCTTTATTCAACAGCACACCTATATGTGTGGTGACCTGTATTTCTGCTTTCCTTCTGCTTGAAGTAAACAGTGGGTAGGAAAAGATGAAGATAGAAAGGAGAGAAAGAAAATGAGAACACAACCTGATATCCCATTCATATGCTGTCAGAAATGGAAAAGAAAGATGGCATAAGTAAAGTGAGAAATTTTTATCACATTTCTAGTAGCCCAAGATATTGCTACTTGTACTATGGTAAAAATAAAGGTCATGTAAAACTTATAAATGGTGATGTAAACTCACCAAGATGGATCAGTCATGATGTTCCTCCCATCAAAGGAGTATATTGGAACATGAATGTTGAATTGTCCACCGTTTCCATTAAATATAGATTCCCAGTTATTGAAAAGTATTTCTCCCTGTTAAAGTTTCAAAGCCACTTTTACAAACAAAACAAATCCAAAATCCACATCATACCTGACTTTTATAGACTTATCTATACATCTGCCTTTGCCTCACAGTTGCATCTCTGTTCTATCGCCACTCCAAATATTCAGCTTGATCATCTCCATTTCCACTGCTCTTTTCCTCCTAACTATCTAGGGGGTTGTTTGAAAAATTGCTTGTAACTACTACTTGTAACTGTATCTATAGAGAAAATACAGAGATAATTTGTATTGCAACTTCTGTTGAGGTCACAGTTTTGTGAAAAGTGTTGCAAATGTTCAAGGCAAAAGCTTTGCATCAGGCTACCTCTCAAACTGCTTTTGAGTTTTTCCAGTCAAAGTTGAAACAATATTGTCTTTACAGATTTGTCTCCAAGGCTCTGTGTTTGCATGCACTTCAGAGTAGCATCCGTTCAGCGTGTTCCAAGCATCACGTGCTATTCCTGTAGGTTTCCTTGGCCGTTTGTTCTGGGACCCAGCCAATGCTACAGAGACATGGTTTGTTTTCCTCAGTTTTAGAGTGTGTCTGTTTATGTGAGACCACAAAATTACTCATGCCGTAGACTCTCCTCTCAGTTTCATTGGGGTAAATCCAGCATCACTCATAAGCACAGAATTTGCCTTCATCTTTAGAAATGAGAAAAATAGGCATTTTAGCCTACTATACTCTGTGATCGTACTAGAAGGTAGAACATAATAGCTATCTTTGAGAACTGAGGGTGCACTTTCCCTGCTGATATAAAAAATATCCAGAAAGCTGAACATCACACTGTTGCTTTGTCAGCAGTCTGCTCAAAGTAGGCTTTATTTCTACCATTAACCTTAGGATATTGAAAAAAGCAACCCTTGAAAATGCAAAGGGAATGTGAGGCAATGTGTAACTCCCTACTTTATCACTACTTTTTTGTTTCTTGAACCCAACTCTGAAACATAATGCAAAGCTGCTTCTTTATAAAATGCAATTTGGTTTGAAACTTTCTGGTTTTGCCATCTTCCAAGATTTTGGGGCACCTACAGCCTATCCTAATATAACAAGTACGAAGCACTCATTTTTACCTTAAGATTGACTATTGGTAAATGGTATCGGTCTGTTTTTCTGACAACTGTGGCCAAATCTTGCAAATGTGATGAGAGGAAGGCTCTATAGGTAGATGTCAAACCTGCTAGTTGGGCCTGTTGAAAACACTGAAAATCTGCTCGCATGTCACCAGAAAATGGCAAGTTTAAAGCCACCAGATGCAGCTGGAGAAAAAAAGAAGAAAAGCCACCATTTTTTTTTAAGTTTATAACACTAGGAAGACATATATTGGAAACAAACTAGACCCCCCCCCCCCTCCTGCCACCACAAGAACATACCTATACCAGGTATGAAAGTTATTTGCTGCCATAACATTACATTTCTTAAAGCTATGAGACCCATAGCAGAAATACCTATTTATCTTTGAACATTAAGGAAACCACGAAGATTATATGCTCCTAAAAACCAAAATTATTTTAAAAGAAGCTAATATTTTTAAGCAGAAGTCTTGGAATTACCACACAAAATCCAAAGTCCTACAAGCATGGAAATAAGTAGTAAGAAGACTACTAGTAAGTAGACCATATACCATTTAAAAATTTACTGTTATCAAGTACAAGAAGTAGCATGCTTAAGTCAAAGATGCAAGCACTAATCCACATTTTTTTTTATATAACTCAGTTACCTTGCTTTCTTCGTCTAAATATTTTGAAGTATTTTAAATGAAGTCTTAGATTCTAAAGTGTCTATCTAAAACAAGCAGTGCCATGAAGACAGAAAATATTCTAATGAAAATAGATCTGGAGGAAAAAATTAAAATTTGTCTCTGAGGTGTCTAAACCAGTTAAAGAAGTGGATTTGTAAATTTCTAAAGTAAAATCTGTGAATTTGAAGAGGAAATATCACAAATCTCCTCAAGATGCAAACTGGCATGTTTCAAACCACAGCTATGCAGTTGCAATACAGATCTCATACTTACTGCTGGTTTTCCATTGTTCGTATTTGATATTGGCCTCAGTGCTGGAAGAGGCTGAAATCCCTGTTGTTTTAACACATGCAAACAGATATGTTAAACATGTTACTCAGACCAGAATTTTAGACACTCAATAATTTTCTAAATAAAGCAAACATTGAACATTGGAAAATCTGAAACTGTTCTACCTCTGAAAAATAAACCCAAACCGCGTAGCCAGCATACATCTTCGTATCATCAGTTTGGTGTGTCACATAAATATGTGTTTGAAAGCTGTCCTGGCCAGAGTTGCTTTGCTGGACCTGAGTGTACCCATTCCACAGTACTCTGCCAGAGCTGGTGTCAGTGCTGGATCGCACCTGGACTCCTGCATGGAAGCAGCCTACTCTTGGCAGGAGCACAAGACCGGTTCAGGAAACTTAAAACTGAAAGTGTAAGGAGGATGTGGAAACAGAAAATGTAGTGGGTGGGAATATTTCTCAAGGCCTTGGTAATTCCCTCTGTAGTGGTAGGATGCTTGTTTTGAACTGACAAGTCTCAGTGGAAAATCATGCTGTGCAGGGATCTGCTTGCAACTTCTGCCAAGTGTATTGCCAGTTTTTGCACATTTAGACTCAGTTTTTCACAGTCTAATATTTTGTACTTACATGGCTTGATATGGCTGGAGGAGGCAGGCTGTCAGCAGGGATAGGAATTAGCTCACCGAGCTGAAAGAACCCAAAACGAGAAGCAAACAAAACCGTATCACCAGGAGTTTCTGAACTAAAAAAAGGAATCCTTGCACCCATACTTCTCTACCCCTGTAAAAAATATCTGCCATGACTCCATTTTGACTAAGGGAGTTGGAAAGGGTTAGGATGTAGTGCAATAGTACCTGCAATTTTCTCCATCCATTTCGAACACGGACAAAAACCTCACTGGTTTCACTCAGATAGATTAGTGTACCTTCTGTAACAAAATGAACTTTTTCCAACATACCCTCAATGTTTTGGAATGTTGTAACCTGTCAAGTAGGAAAATGAAACATGCTTCATCAGACATACAAAACATTTTGCAAGTTAAATTGTTAAACTGAAGTCTCATTTGAAATCATAAATGTCAAGGCTTCTTCCGCAGGAAATGCTCATAAAGTCAATTTTATGTCTTTTCATACAAAAAGCTTCAGTAACATAAATATCTTGCTACTTTGGCATACCAGCATAATCATTCTGTGGATTGTAGTAGAACTACACCAATAGTTAATTTTACACAGAGTGAAGATCATTGCATCTCTACAGTTTAGCATACTAGATCAAAATGGCAAAGTTCAGAAGAGATTTGATAAGGTTTATAAATATCACACAAAATTCTAGATACATTTGCTTCTGTTATATTTTTCTTAGTGTTGTTGTGATCTCTTTAAGGGTGTTTTCTTCCATCCCTTTTGTTATGTTTCCAGGTGCCACTAGTTTACGCAGCAAGTATTTTTCAATTTCGCTTTTCTGGATCATCAGGAGGCTTAAACTGATGCCTGTCAAATATAGACATTGCACCTATTACCTCTGTCTTTGTCACCTCAAGATAAGAACACAGTCCTGTCTAAGATGGGTTGCTTCTACAGTCTGTTTGATAATTGCAGATAGTGTAAAATCAGGTACAAGTTTCATGAGAGTGTCATTTCTTTCTCATTTCTTCAGTGTCAGAAGGCATATTAATGCTTTATGAATCATGCAGACCCTACTATAGATTTACATATTGTTTTTTAATGTTGTTTTTGACCTCAGTGGGCTTGGATCTCCTATCTAAGACAGTAGCTCCCAGCCTGTAACTACAGTCCTCTACCTTGGGGCACCAGTCTTTGAACATCTGTTTCTCCCCTGATCTGTAACCATTGTCAGGTCCTGAATTTCTATGAGAAAAGGCAATTAGCAGAGGTATGACACTATGGTGGGAAGGCATTAAGAAACTTACACACAGATTCTTGTTAGTTCATTTGATATGATGTATGTGATCTGAAAGTCTGCTTGTTTATTAGTACATTCTCAAATAATAGCCAAAGATATCCAGCAAATTTGCTTTTCTATCATAATGTGAGAATGTGGAAAAGGAAAAAATTGCAATGAACCCCCTCTGCTAGCTTGAATATTTTTTTTCAGAAATTATGAATATTTAATTTAGAAATTAACAAGACAGAAGTCTTAGCTGTCATTTTTATGGCATGGATATCTGGGATACAATTCTGATTTGATTCATGCAGTAAGAAAAGGAAACAATTAAATTTATACGTATTCTCTAGCACAATGATTTTTAGATTTGCTAGGGAAATCTACAGTTTTCTTCTTAGAAACAAACGACCTATATTACTAGGTTTTAATCCAGTAATGTAAAGTGTCTTTTTCATGGAAACTGGGCATTCAGTAGTTGCTCTAGTATCTCAGGATTTTAAGTTGCCACAGTCTTTTGGACACATTGCTTTGAACATGGAATATGCACCTTTCCATTACTTTAGCATGCTATCAGTCTTTGCATTTGTTTCAATAGGCTGTTACTACTAACAAGGCAATGGACAGACTTCTCCTCTCATCACTTTTCCCAGCTATATGGATTCCCTGCTGAAAAATTATGAGGTTCAGAAAACCAGAAAATATTCTAATAAATAAAAACACGGGACAGAGCTTTCCCTCCTCTCTAAGTGCTACCAATGGCCACCAAAAGATTTGAAGCAGGGTTTCAATGGCAAACTTCCTTATTTTGATGTCTTACCAGGTTTCTGGTTGCAGGTGACCCTGGCTCTCCCGGAGGACCTGGTGGCCCAGGCATTGCAGCTGCTAAAATATAACAAGCATACAATACATGTTGAAGGTCATCTTTTTTGAGAGAGGTGAGTGACATAAAGAAAGGACTTAGTGGTAGTGTCTAGGAGTAGTGGGAGCTTTAAATAGGCATAGGCCTTGCATAGTCAAGTTCTGAATAGCTGTGTTCAAGCCAACTACAGAAAATGCATTCTAAGGATTTTTTTTTTAAAGCAATGGTGAAACTTAGTCTTTTCTCTGTTATTTGGGTGGTTAAGGTCAACAGATTGCAATCTGTTGTAGAGACTCTGCAAATGAAGAACCAGATCCACTTAAATTGACCAGAATGCTCTTCTGCTAGCTGCTAATGATGTGCATATAGAAGAGGAAGAACTTTTAGCTCCTGCCCATATAGGCTTTGAGGCAGTCATTATATCTTTTGCTCTAAAAGTCAGTAAAGGCTAACCCTGAGAGCACTGCTGCATTCCATAGCTTGCTGTTTACTGATCTGTAACTTTTGAATTAGGAGGCTGCAGTTATGCACCAATAAAGCAAGTTCTAGTGTTCAAAAACGCTTGTTTTTGTGAAACCCAGAGGAGCCTTGAAATCACCTTTTACAAATTGAAGAATCTATGCTCTGAAGCACTTACAAGGATCCTCCAGAGCAGTTCGTTCCTGTCAATAGCAGGGGAAAGGGGTTCAGTTCTCAGAAGTGCTCAGAGCTATTTATCTCCAGATAAACCATTCCTCTTTCCCCATATTGCAGTATGTGAGCCCCATATTACAGTAAGACCTTGAACAGAGATAACTGTGCCTTGAAGATAGGAAATAAATAAACATTTGTGTTCATAACATTTAGTAAAATGGATATCCATCAGCATGCTGCCTGAAGAAGCTTCTTACAAAGCAAAGAGGAAAATGTGTAGGAGGATGATGAAGACTAATGGCAGAGAGGATAAACGAAAATATAGGAATGGAGTGCTAATAATTTGTTTTGTCTGCCTGGGTCTCTTAGCTAATATTCAGAAGTGCTTAACATAAATTACACAGGAAAAGGCCTGAAGGCCTTTATGGACTTTATGGATACTGAGGATCTGTCCATATTATGATGATCAGGGGCTAATTCAGGTACAGGCCTATGTTCCACCATTGAACATATTAAAGATTTCTTCTTTCTCAAATATTCTTCAAAGGATGAACGCTTCTGATAGACACTCAATTAATAATATTTACTGGATGACAGACTGGAAGTCTCACCTTGACCCTGGGCAGCTGTATAAACCAATCTGACCAGGTTCAAGAAATTCCTGGAGAGAACAAATTGAAGACAGAGAGGTCTACTCCCCAAACTAGCATACTGGAGGCACAGGTCTTGTGGAGAAACAGACTGATTGTTAGTTCTCAGAAATGGAGATCTGTATTAGCTAGACCTGCCCACACTTTAGGCAGGACAGATCTGCATTATAGCCTCTCTATTCAGTTAACAATTCCCTTTCTGTTAGTACACCATCTTCAGTTGAGATTAAGGAATGCTTTGCTCTGGTTTTACCTGGCTGGATTCCCATGCTGGTCGCAGTTCCCAGAGGGAGGAATCAGAGTTGCTTGCTCAGGCAGACCTGTCAAGTAATGTCAGACAAGCCCAGGACCCCATCCACCAGAACCTAGTCTAACAACTGGACATTAACAGTATGAGGCTTGTCACTAGCAGACCTGTGACCTAAGAGGAGTCAAAAGCACAAATATCTTGACCTGTGACACTTGGTTTAGAGCCATGTATTCCCTTTGATGCAAGTTTGAGATAATTCACCTGAAGCTCCAGCGCCACATTGTTTGCAAAGTTCCTCCCCTGCTGTGACTATTTGTGGAACATTTTACTCCTTTTCTAATCCAATATGTTGAAAATCATTACAAGTACAGTTACCAACCCTCCCAAAGTTTTATTTCTATTCAGCATGTGCATAACAATTAATTTTTAGAAGCAGTTGTCCAGCAGTTACATTCTAGACCTAAACTCTACTGTGGGTACTGCCTTTGTATCAGAGAATCATAGAATCCTAGAATCATAGAATCGTTAAGGTTGGAAAAGACCCTTAAGATCATCAAGTCCAACCGTTAACCTATCACTGCCAAGTCCACCACTAAACCATGTCCCTAAGTGCTGCATCTACACATCTTTTAAATACCTCCAGGGATGGGGACTCAACCACTTCCCTGGGCAGCCTCTTCCAATGCTTGACAGCCCTTTTAGTGAAGAAATTTTTCCTAATATCTAACCTAAACCTGCCCTGGCGCAGCTTGAGGCCATTTCCTCCTACAACCTCCTTTCAGGTAGTTGTAGAGAGCAATAAGGTCTCCCCTCACCCCCCTCTTCTCCAGGCTAAACAACCCCAGCTCCCTCAGCCACTCCTCATAAGACTTCTTCTCCAGACCCTTCACCAACTTCCTTGCCCTTCTTTGGACATGCTCCAGAACCTCAATGTCCTTCTTGTAGTGAGGGGCTCAAAACTGAACACAGTACTCGAGGTGCGGCCTCACCAGTGCCAAGTACAGGGGCACTATCACCTCCCTGGTCCTGCTGGCCACACTATTCCTGATACAAGCCAGGATGCCATTGGCTCTCTTGGCCACCTGAGCACACTGCTGGCTCATCTTCAGTCAGCTGTCAACCAACATCCCCAGGTCCTTTTCTGACAGGCAGCTCTCCAGCCACTCTTCCCCAGGCCTATAGCATTGCATGGGGTTGTTGTGACCCAAGTGCAGGACCTGGCACTGAGCCTTGTTGAATCTCATACAGTTGGCCTCAGCCCATCGATCCAGCGTGTCCAGATACTTCTGTGGGCCTTCCTACCCTCCAGCAGATCAACACCCCCGCCCAGCTTGGTGTCATCTGCAAACTTACTGAGGGTGCACTCAATCCCCTCATCCAGATCATTGATAAAGATATTAAACAGAAGTGGCCCCAACACTGAGCCCTGGGGAACACCACTTGTGACTGGCTGCCAACTGGATTTAACTCTATTCACCAGATGAAGTGTGTCTTGGCCCACATTAACATCTTCCCAAATTTAGCCAGCTGCTCAATTTGATCAATTTTGCAAAGCTCTCAAGGCAGCCTGTCTCCATTATGTAGACTTCCTCTCAGCCACAGCCACATTAAGATTTTTCATGCAATATTGCTCCCATGGCACTAGACAGTGAAAACTGTTTGCAGAGAAATTGTCCCTTTTGTGTTCCCAGTTCCAACTCACCCCCCAGGAGAAATCAGTAGAGGGCAGGAGGAGAGAGGGGAGCAACCTGATTCAGGTGTGCAGAGTGGGTGGGCAGATGGAAGAACAGGTATGTAAAGGAAGTGGCAATGTGGGGGGTGGGGGTGGGTGCATGCCTATGCACTCACATATACAGTGAAAAGCCAAATCGCACCCTCTCACCTGCGCCATATATTGCAGGGGGTCCTGGTGGGCCGGGTGGGCCAGGTGGGCCAGGAGGTCCAATTTTTCCATAACCCGGTAAGCCAGGTAGGCCAGGTAACCCCGGAGGTCCTCTGGGTCCGACAACTGAATCCCCTTTTGGCCCCTATCAGTGATAAAAAGTATTCCTTTGAATGTGTCAGTTTCACTGCTGCAGGGCCTTCATCTCTGGTGGCAACATTTTCTGAAGGCTTGCCACCACACCACTGTTTAGACATGAGTCTGTATGTAATTTTCTTCAAGGAGGCATGGATGTTAATGGAAAATGAAAAATTTGACCATATACTAAACTAAATTCAAGAATTTAAGTTTCAGAAAGCTTTCTGAAAGTTCTTGCACCTATTCCTGAGTAGCTGGTATCTGCAAAACTCTTGACAGTACTCTCAAAGTCCTGGATCTCAACTCTGCTCGTGCTGAGACTACTTGCTTTGATGTGCTTATAGATAAGAGTTTGTCTGAAGGTATGTGGTGGAAAGCTTTAACACAAAGTGTGTCTGTGCAGGGTGTATGTCTCACGACGAATGTTGTCTTCTCCCTCCTGTGATCAAATGTCAGCTAATATCCCTTAAGCTCTTCAGCTGCCAGTCTTCCAGATTAAAAAGGCTCCAACTCTCTATGTTTCCAGTTTAGCGGTGTGTCCTCAGCCTGAACAAGGGAGGGCTTGTGCTCCCTGTGCTCAAACTGGCCTGCATACATAGAACAGTTTTTGGACACTGGACTAGGAGAGCTCAGTCTCTGATGTATCTATCTCAGTTGTGCCATCCAACTCCTTCTTGCCAGTGGAACAGTTTCTCAACAGGCAGATGGTTCTCAGCAATGTGGAATAGCGCCAGGGGGAATTTTGAAGGTGCGCTTGCTAACCTAACACTTTGTCCTCAGCTATGACCCACCTATTAACACTCCTTGGCACAGAACATAACAATAGAGTAATGCAATGCACACATTTGTTGCCAGATCCCAGGGATAAACTAGTTTCCAAACAATTAGTGCATTTGATTCCAAAGCAGCTGTGGTGGCAATTGCCAGAAGATAAAACAACTAGGTAGAGATTAGACAGTGGCTGAATTTTATAGGAATCATCCAGATGGGTACACACTGGACTTTTCATTCATGTTTTTGGAGTACTGGAATAGAAAATAAGATTAATTATTTAGATGGCCAATAATTTTCAAGTCAGCCTCTGTCTAACTTTATATAGCCTATTTTCGCTTTTATGGGGATATAAGTAGTAGTGTCACCTGTTATATATACTGCCTTGATTTGTGATGCTATTAATAGCATGAATCTGCATACTGATGTAGTTGTATAAGACAGCCAAGCATAACATTACATTGATTTTTCATAGCAAATTAATTCTATGCACAACAGTGAAGTGTCTGTGTTTATGCCTAATGCAACTCTCTTGTATTCACCTAATGGTTAGCATATGAGTTTTTATATAGTTCTTAGCATGATCTTGGTGTTTGTCTCTTTTTAGTGCCTTCTAAATTAAAACAATGGGTACACACAAATATTCCTATTCTACAACTTGCGTGACTTACAACTAATCCTGGTCTTCCAGGTGGTCCAGGAGGTCCGGTCAGAAAAAAACCTCCATTTGGTTCTCCTTTTTCTCCTTTTACACCAGTGACTCCATTGTCTCCTTTTTCACCCTTTAAAGAGAATATATTTTAAACCGTTGAGCTGAAGCGAGATCAGAACTCACTTACAACTAATCCTGGTCTTCCAGGTGGTCCAGGAGGTCCGGTCAGAAAAAAACCTCCATTTGGTTCTCCTTTTTCTCCTTTTACACCAGTGACTCCATTGTCTCCTTTTTCACCCTTTAAAGAGAATATATTTTAAACCGTTGAGCTGAAGCGAGATCAGAACTCTATGCACTGATCTTTTAAAGTGTCATGGTTTAAACCTAGCCAGCAACTAAGCACCATACAGCTGCTTGCTCACTCCTTCCTGGTGGGATGGGGGAGAGAATGGGAAGAGTAAAAGTGAGAAAACTCGTGGGTTAAGAACAGCTTAATAACTGAAATAAAATAAATTATAATAATAACAATAACAATAATAATAACAGCAACAACATACAACGCAAGTGATGCACGATGCAATTGCTCACCACCTACTGATCAATGCCCAGCCCATCCCCGAGCAGTGGTCACTGCCCCCCAGCGAACTCCCCCCTGTTTACACACTGAGCATGACGTCATATGGTATGGAATAGCCCTTTGGCTGGTGTGGGTCAGCTGTCCTGGCTCTGCTCCCTCCCAGCTTCTTGTGCACCTGGCAGAGCATGGGAAGCTGAAAAGTCCTTGACTAGTGTAA